GTTCAATGCAAAATATTCTATCGAAAAAATAAATAGAATTCGTGACGCGAATGAATACTTCATATGAACAATTTAGTAAACACAATTGATTGATTACATATACTTTGTGAGATTTTTTGTAATCACTTAACGATTGCAACTGCGTCGACCACTTAATCACGGCGAAATTCAATTTTTTGTCGCCCCAACAGGTGATAAATCGACGAGCTTCATCAATCACCCCCCGATACAACAACATCAGCCCCGATGCAAGAAATTGTTCACGAGGGGCCCCTCCATCCTCATTTGCGTCGACAATGACCCTGAAATCGTCGTGTATTATCCAGTAATTATTATCGTTTTTTTTCAGTCACTTGCTGACATCAGTGGAACATCTTGAACGCTTTTTATTGTGTTCTTACGCTTGGATATCCAAGCGCTTTGGCTATTTTTTCTCCACTCAAATGCTTTGCTACTTTTGTAATCGAACATCAGAGCTTTCATTTGAGCCCCATTAGACCTCAAGTTTCAAGACATTTTACAATGATTTTATTATTTAAACTTTCCAGGTCTGAACCATTTTTTTACTTTTAGAAAAAGATAAAATAAATTGAATTTTTTATGCAAATTATTTATTCGGAACTCTCAGAAAAATTATTTATTCACATCAAATGAATAAGTTTACGTAAATAGTCCCAAACAAAGTTTTTTTTAATTAAATAAAAAAAGTTATTCGAAATTTGGTGTATATTAAATAAATGTTTTTTTGTTATGAATAAATCTTTATTTGATTCAAAAGAACAATTTTACCGGGTGAATTGTAACAAATTTATTCATATTTAGAATTTTACTAGAAATCGATGTCATGCCTAAGAAAATGAAGCTTCCGAAAGTTTAAAAAATTTCAATTATTTATTGAAAAAAAACGGTAAAAGATCCTTGGATATCCTTAAATCGTAACCGAATAGAATAGGAGAAAGACAACGTTACGTGAATATTTTTAAAAGGTAAATTTTCCCGAAAGTTTCATTCGCAAAGAGTGAGAAACCTTGTCCCGAATCCCTCATCTCAACTTTTCTCCTCAACCCCAAAAAAAGACCTGATTTCTTCCTGAACTAGTGAATTAAACTACAATTAGAATTCGAAACTGTTGTAAATGGTGGAATCTCCAGATTTTAGTTCCAAGGCCAGTCCGTGGATATCTCCCTGCGGAGCGTTGAAGCCCCCCCGGAAGGTCGCGGAGAATACGATCAACTGGTGCAAACCGAGTGATCGTTAACGCCAAGAATAACTCGGTGGAGAGTGGAGCGGGAAAACCATAAACGATTCCAGTACGTGTCCGGAGGTAGGAAAATTCAATCTCTGACGTTGAGTCGCAAGTTTCACCGGACAACGGAACAATGGGGGATGGAAAAAAAATCGAAGAAGGGAGGAGGGAAAAAAAACCCCACGACTTTCCTGTATGTTCCTTGGGACGGTTGTAAAAAGTCGCTACCGTCGTTCGAGATTTATCCATGTACAACTTTTTCACACTACACCAACGTCTGTCGTCGAACGGTGACACTTTTTTCCGCGTATTCGTTCTGGAGAATTTAGTGGAGTTTCGCATCGATCCCCGAGCCATTCCGGATTATTTTTCATTCCGGATTCACACCTGCGAGACTATTTCAAATTATCAACGGCAATTTCATGCAATTTGCGGATTTTTAAACTTTATTTATTGTTAATGAACAAAAAATTTTAATTATTTATTTATGACACTTTATTAATAATTTTTCTAACACAATAATTTAACATAAGTAATAAATAACTTATAATAAATAATATAATAATAAATGATTATAATAAATAACTTATTAAAATAAATTATTTAAATAATAAATCTACCTTATTTT